TTAACGCTGCCCTGCTGCTTCCTGCAGCCTGGAGATGAATCTGAATCTGATCACAGATGAAGAAGTTTCCAGATGATCAGATCGTCTCCAGTTTCCTCTTTAAAACTCAGAGTTTCAATCTGATCAATAAGTTTTTATTGGACTTTGATCTTCATGCTGAGATCATCAGAGCTGCTGCTTCATCACTGAGATCTTCATCGGTACGATCTTTAATGTTTTATCAGTGGCGAAGAATGGAAACATCCTATCAGTGAAGGTGTGTGTGAAGGTGTGTATGTGTGTGTTAGTATCCAGATCAGAGAAGGACAGTTTTCCTCTGTCCCAGTCCAGATTCACTCTGATCCTCTGGAGATTCTTCTGGACTGAGAGACGAGAGGAAGGAGCTGGAGGAGACCATGCTGAGTATTCACCTGAATATAACCATATAACCAACCATCCAGACTGTATGCCGCCCTTCCTCTGAACAGACTCTTCTAACACACCAAGTCTCCAGTATTCACTGTCTCCAACATCAACATCCCAGCTGTGGTTCCCTGAGTTAAAACCCTCAGAACTCAGAACAGCGTAGGGACCATAAAACCTCTCTGGATTACCAGGAAGCTGCTGTCTCTCTCCTCTCCTCCCATTGGTCAGATCTTCAGACAGATGGAGTTCTTTACCAGCCGTGTTTGGGTCCAGAACCAGAGGAGTGTAGGTCACCATGGTCTCCATGTTGCTCCAGATGTTGAAGGCCAGGTTGCCCAGATGTTTGGCCTGGTCTATCAGAGCTCCTGAGGGCAGCTGTGGATCCTCCAGCAGGGGGCAGCGCTGGACTCTTTCCACTGCAGCCTTGTAGTTGTGCAGGAATGAGACGTCTGCAGCTCTCAGCTCCTCCTCTGTGGCTCTGACTGTGTCTGAAAGAGCTGCTATCTCTCTGCTCAGAGCCTCCATCTTCTCCTTCATCATCCCTCTCTTCTGCTCCTCTTCCTCCCTCAGTGCAGCCAGCCTGGCCTCCTCTTCCTCTGCTAGAAACTGATGAAGCTGCTTAAACTGCTCCCTAATCTGCCTCTCTGTGTGTCGGGCCTGGACCTCCAGGTGTTCTGCTGTCTGATCAAACTCCTCCTGAACTTTCTTCCTGAGCTCCAGCTTCTCCTTTAAAGGCTCCAGAGTTTCCTCAAGTTTCTTCCTGTGTTGCTGAGCAGCTTCATCGATGGGTCTGAATCTGTGCTTGGTGTGTTTTTCTGAATCTCTGCAGACGAGACACACTGGCTGCTGATGGTCCAGACAGAAGAGTTTGAGTTTCTCAGAGTGCAGAGAGCAGAGACCCTCTGAAGCTTTTTGGTTTCTCTGCTGTAACAAAGACTCACACAGATTCTTCAGAGCCAGATTACAGGGAGGAGCATCTGATGCTGATCTTTTCCTACAAACTGGACACTCTCTTCCTGGTTTCTCTCTCCAGTGTTTCTGCAGACACTCCTTACAGAAGCTGTGGCTGCATGACAGAAGAACCGGATCCTTAAATATTTCCAGACAGACCGGACAGCAGAGATCATCGTCTGATCTGGAAGCCATTTTGTCTCAGAGTGAAGCTGAAACCACAGCAGACAGAAAGTCAAACCAGGAAGTCAGTTTCTCTCTGTAGAAACTTTATGAACTTACTTTGATTTGCTTGTTTTTCCTCCTGCAGCAGTCTGTGTTCCAGTGCCTAGTTGCTCAGTTCTCTCTCTGCTCTCCTTGTTCAGAGTTAGTTTGATTTCAGTCGGAGACGAAGGCAGGAGTCAGAGTTCATCCTCAGGGTGTTTACTCAGTGAGTTTTTCTCTATCAACTGTTTCCTGGTTTTTCCAGGTTTTCCTGTTTGAATCAGTCTTTAGGCGGAGATGTGGCGCCCTCTAGAGGATTTAATCTTAATCTGCAGTTTTATTAAAACTACAGTTTTTCTGATTCATGACTTTGTTTCTGCTTCAAGTGAAAATATATTTTTCCTCTCATAAAANTCTTCCACTATCTATGAAAAATGAACACATTTCATGTTCAGTTTCCTTCTGTTTGCTGTTTTTCTGTCAGTTTCAGACTCTGGAGGTGAAAATGATGTTTGGTGTTGAGGAAAGTTTGTCCAGTTTTCACAACAACTGGATCAGAATCAGAAATATTTTGATTTAAATTCCATCAATGCTCTGATATTTTTTATTCTGAAAACTGGGAAACAGTAAAAACTCCAGTTTTCAGCTGGAGTATTTTAAAGTTACTTTAAATATAAACCAAAAATAAAACCAGAGAAGAAATAAAATAATAAAAGCTGTTGCAGTAAAATAATGACCCTCTAATGATTCAGTGTCTCCTCCTCCTTCCTGCTGGCAAAGAGCAACACAATCATTGCTCCGACTGCAAACTGAGGATTTCAGTGACAGTTTTAAACAGATACTTTAGTTCATGCTGATCTTTTTACCTTCTAACGGTCAGAAACAGGTGATTCCTCTTTGGTTACTGAGCATAAAACAGAGACTGAACAGCTGAATGAGATCTGAGTCAAACCAGTGAGGAAACGTTCAAACATTTACAGGAGATCCTGCTCTGCTGTGACAGATGAAGAAAATATAATAGAGCCAGTTTATATAAGCAGGAAAAACCAGCAAGAAAAAACTGCATTACAAGCTGTAAAACTGTAAAATGTCTCATTAAGTTTGATGAATAAATCATAAAACCAACCAAGACTGAAGCTGATCACAGCATCAACCATTTAATCTTTAAAAATGACCCAAATTTAAACTTATGAGGAAGTTTTGGTTTGTTAGATCAAAATGAAAATAATTCATTTAAATAAAACTATAAAATAAAATCAGGCAAAATAAACAGTTTTCCAAATCAGGTTTTAGGCAGATATATGAAACTGATGAAATTAAACTGTGAATTTTGGTTAAAAGCTCATCGTTCAGTGAAGTTACTGAG